AGAACTTGATCAATTAACTTCAAGGCAATTGCAGTGCAGATGGAGAATATTTAGCCAATACAAATAACAAATAATAAAAATAATTGGACAACTTAAGAATTAACCGCATTTGTCAATTAGAGAAAAATCTCATGCTGCAGAAATGCTAAAGCAATTATCGGAAGGGGGGCTTGGTAATAGATTATTGATTTATGTCACATGCTTCCGGCTATTTTTTCTTCTATCTAATTGGTGTTTATTTTTAAAATATGTAAACAGGTGAAGAAAAAGCAAATGATTTTATTCTTTAAAACACAGATAATGGTAGAATATTCTAATAAATGAAAATATTTCTTAAAAAAAATATTATACTAACAAGTATAAAAACAGCCAAGCCATTTGGAAGGAACTTGAAAAATTTCCAAATAATTCCGTCCAAAAATACCACTCAATGGAAACCCGTTGTATGGGGCTATACGAAGACTTGCTTCTGCATAAATAATTTTTGTTATCGGCTGCAGTAGCCTTTACGAACTTTAAATACAAAATTGAAAACAATTACGGTGAATACTGTCACTATTATCATTAAAATACCAAATAAAGGCAGGTACCTTGTATGGGTGCTATACAATATCGTGGACCAATATAGGCAATTCTCTTCCAGGGAGTAAAGTACTTAAAGGGAACTCCTTGTGTAAAATTTCAGACAATTCCATTGAAAAATATGACTAAAATCATCAAAATATCGAATATTTGGGGGTTATATGGATGCTATATGATATCGTGTACCAATATAGGCAATTCAGGGGGTAAAGTACTCAGAAAGAACTCCTTTTGTGGATTTGCAGACAATTTCTTTGAAAATTTTGGCTACAATCATCAAAATACCGAATATCGAGGGGTACCGTTACAACAGACGGACGGACAGGGATAAATTGTATTAGAATTTTACACCGATCAAGAAAACATATACTTTGTTAGGTCTACAATTGTTATTTGGATGAGTTACAAACGGAAAGACGAATTTAATATACCCTCCATGCTATGTATGGTGGAGGGTATAAAAATCTAAAGTTATAATTCTGATAATTCTTCAAAAATAATTTATTTTAAAAATCCACGATTTTAGCTCTGGTAATTGTTAAAAACCCATAAATATTCTCGATTTCAGCTCTGCCAGTCCTGAAATATTTTTCTTTAAAAAGCCACGATTTCAGCTCTGTGAATTTAAAAAAAAATCGTAAAAAATTCTCAGTGTCAGTTCTACTAATCCTGAAAGGTTTTTTTTTTTTTAAAGCCCCAGGATCATAGCATTGCTGATCGTTGAATTTTTGAATTTAGCACTGCCAAGCCTTCGAAAATATTCTTTAAAAACCAAAAAATCCTTCAAAATTTTCTTTACAAATATCAGACTTATTGCTCTGCTAATCCTTCAAAGTTTTTCTTTAGAATCCCAACGATTAAAGTTTTTTTTTTTTAAATTCCACAATTATAGTTCTGCTTGACCTAATCCGTGATAGTTTTACTTTAAAAATTCCAAGCTTATATCTCTAATATCCCTTCCATAAATAAATATTTTGTTTTTTGTAAAAAAATGCCACATTTTTTAAAGTAAAAAATAATTTACAACACAATCATCCATGTTAAATACGTTAGTAATTACGACTTACCATCTCTGCTTTGCTGGAAGTGTGCATTTTTAATAAATACTTCCATTGATTTCATGGTGGCTATAAAAAAGCAACACAAAACGCACAAAAATATACCATAATAACCTGTTGTGCAGTATGTGTTGCCTGCTGTTGTCCTCAGTCGATTGCGGAGGTAAATCAATAAATGTTCGTATGAGAATATTGGACTTGACCTTCGCATTGTTGGGGTTATTCGTAAGCTCAAGAAAAAATACTGAACGTTTTTACTTCTCTGTAAAGTAAAACAACTTTTACCTCCTTACATTTTTTTTTTTTTTTTTTTTGGTTTTAAGGAAACTATCCAACTACGGTGTCTTTCAATTAAACGCTTGTAATTGATAGAGGTGGGTGTGTTCTCTATATGACCAGTTTGTGACATGAATTATTGCCCTCAAAAAGTTGAAGCCAGAAGTAGAAGAAGGCTAGAATGTTATGGCATTTTATCTTCTCCACAAGATTTGAGCAACAATTTTGTAGAGTATTTGGATGTGAATAAATATAGTTTTTTTTTAAATAATTTATATGACAGAACGACGAAAAGGACATTGTAGGTATTAAGTTAAAAGGACTAAACGTTCTGCAAAATATTGCTTATTCGAATGAGATGGAAATAGAACATCACTTAACTCCTGAAGTCTAAGGCATTGATGGTAATCATCATAAATTCATACAAATCAACTATATGCAATTTAGACAAGATAGATGTAAACATACTAAGTAGGGTCGTTTGGCTTGGATATGAATATTTAATAATAAACAAGTAAGCATAGGCTATAGTCGTGCGGGGCCGACTATGTTATACCCTACAACACTACATATGTTAGAAGCCCCCTTATGTCCAAATTCATATTGAAAGATTTCTCTTTTGAAATTAGGATTTTGACTAGGGACATTTGCCCAACATTTATGCACACCGTCGGGCTGTTAGTTGTTGTAGTCCATTTTACAGCTAAATATAATCCAATGGTCATCCAAAATGCTTCCCTGCCCTTAACTCTCTTCAGAGGCGTGTCGGTTGGCTTCAATTGTGTGATCGGAAAAACATTTCTGTTTTTAGTTAATTTGAACCCCTAAATATTTTGCGATCATCTCCAAATGCAAGAAGTCCCTCTGTATCTCCAAATTTAGACCCATCTATATGATTTGCTTGTCTACGATATTTGGCTCAACGAAATCAGCATAAAAACCCAAAAGTTCGCCTTTTGTGTATTTCGGATATCGCATGTAAGTAATGCTGGTATTTTTTGACACAAAATTAGTGGTACATTGTACCCGCTGTCCTAAACTCTAACTTTACCTTTATAACGGCTGCAAAATCAGGAAAATTTTTAGTTGTTGGTCCATTTCAATCCCTAATATATTGCGAACATCTTTGAAAACAGTAGGCCTAGCCCTTCTGAGCCCAACTCTACTCTTGGGAAAATTTTCGTGAGGATCGGACGATATTTGCAATACCTATGTGATATCCTCAACCTGTGTTGTAAGGTGAAAAAAATATTACAAAATATTATAAGTCAAATTAAAAAAATCGCATGCGATAAAAAATATGAAAAAATAAAAATATGTCACAAAATACTACAAAATCGATATTAATATCATTATTGGCATATTTTTCTGCAACAAGAGGGCATTCTGAATTGACAAAATTTGCCAAAATCGGTCCAGCCATTCTTGAGATATAAGCATTCTAACTAACATCCCCTTCTTTTGTATATACACATTGTATATATTTCGCTATATATAACCGATATATTTACTGTCGCAATCTACTTAACGGTCAGAATTGACCTGTTCGTCTATTTGTGATTTCGCCGGGATTAAAAATATTCGCGGTTTAATGGAAAATTTGACTTTTGACTTTTGGCTCTAGCACCATGCTAACTTCCGCTTTGATTGGTCTATAATTCGACCTTTTTCAGCTGACCTCTTTGGCAAGTAAACACGATCATTTTGTTTGTTTACAAACTGCTGGGCAACGAATGTTTTCTCATCGGAGAAAACCAAATTCTTGCACTACGTAATGGGTACTACAGTCTGTGACATAAAATTGTCGGATAGTCCCCCTATATCGGTAGCTCCCTGTATTCGGTATTTTGCTGATTTCAGTGACATTATTCACTGAAATTGCTTCAAATTTCGTATTTGCAGTTCGTAAGAATATTGAAAAATGAGCACGATGTAAATTCGAAAAAGTGCAAGAACTTATACCGCAACAGAAAGAAAATAGACTCAAAAGAGCTAAAGAGTTGCTTCGCTTGGCCGAACGTGGTGAACTGCCGATTTCTCACAATTGATTTATCATCGTAGATGATGCTGAAAGGCAGCCTTGCTCATAGTCGACCTCCGCTGATACGAGTTGATGATCTTGAAAAAGGATACACAAGTACGATAAAGTTCTTGGGTATTCATATGACGGTTACAATAAATGTCCTGGATAGTCCCCATATAGTTAAAAAGGTAAACGTACAAAATATTGAATGGCTATGAAGCTCGAAATGAGCATCTGATGTCTGTTAAACTCGGCGCATCCACATCTGTCTTCTAAACTCGACACATCTCGGATCACACCTTCTGGCACCTCCCCCACAACGGGTCAAAATTTTGAATAATTATATTTCAATAATTTTCAAAAACTATCACATCTTTCATATATATTGAAGGAAATAGTATATCAGAAGAAGTAGTCCTTCGGAATGGACATTGGCTGGATGTATACATCTATTGGCGAAACCGACTGAACATCCCTAAATATTCGTCGTAGACCCCGTAAAGTATACATATTCATAATCAGCATAAAATTCTAAGTCTTTTTTTAACAATGTCCGTCTGTGTGTCCGTCAGTCTGTCTGTTGAAATCACGATACAGTCCACATTATTTAACGTATAGCTTCAAAATTTGGCAGAACACTTAGCAACTAAGATGGTTGGTATTAAAAATGAGATATGTCGGTCCATGTTTCGGTATAGTCCCCATACAACGGAATTTCCCGATATTCGGCATTTTGATGATTTTTTCCAAATTTTTTTCACGGATTTGTCTAAAAATTGCTATGTGTAGGTCATAATGGATTCTAGCTCCGGTGGCAGAACATTTATATCTTTTGAAGAAGCAATAGGAAATCTTATCTGTTCGGTGAGCATTTTTAATATTTAGGATCTTCCTCCCAATCTACACCAATCATAGCAACAACACTCATAATTTTGTCTTAATTTTTTTCTAAGAATTCTCGTTCTTTTCTTTTATTGTTGAGTAATTTATCAAAATAAAAAAAAAAAACAAAATCAAAAAGTTATAGTTTTTGTTTTCATAATGGATACAAATTCATGAAATAAGTCTTTGTCTTTCTTTGTTTTTATTCTGTCGAAACAACCAAGGATAAAATATACGGGGGAAATGTGAATGGCAAGAATAGGCTAGGATGAAATGCAGGGATGGAGGTATGGAAATCATTCATTGTCATCATCATCAATCTTAATATAGAACATAGATAGATAGTATTTAAAACAGCACACAATTATTGATGATATGTTAAATGTTGGAGAGTATTCCATGAGAGTGGCATTCGGAGTGAGTGAGAGAGGGAAATTGAGAGTGAGAGCGAAAGTGCATTGTAGACGGTGTCATCCAGTTTCAATATGCCAGGGGACAAACTTAATTGCAATAGGGGAAATTGGGACAAGTGTGGGGGCTGACACCAGCTGGGTACTGGCGTTCGGTGAAACCGGGTAGTGGAGGAGCTGGAGCAGCAGCACCGCCAGCATTCACATCACAGAATGGATAGTTGGGGCAGGTGTGTGGACTCACACCAGCTGGGAATTTATCAGCAGCACCGGGGGCAGCTGGTGGTGCATTCCACTGGGGCTGGGGTTGCCAAGAGGGTTGAGGTTGTTGCCACGATGGTTGTGGTTGCCAAGAGGGTTGGGGTTGCTGCCACGAGGGTTGTGGTTGCCATGCAGGTTGAGGCTGTTGCCATCTGGAAGCGGGATTATGCAGGCGGGCATTATCACAGATGGGGAAACCGGGACAATCCTGGGGATTCACACCGGCTGGGTATTGGGCAGCTTGGGGTTTGGCGCAGGCCACAGCGGCCAAAGACAAAATTACCTGTAAGAAAGATAAAAAATGATGCATTTCATTATATTTATTAAAGTTTAAAGTTAGTTAAGAAATTAATACAGTACATGGAGTGGACCAAAAAATTTTGTTGCAACAAAAATGCATAACATAAAAGTTTTCTGCAGTTGAATTCAGAGCTGACAATTCATTTACAGTTTAGGGGATCTAGTAAATCATTGCATATACGCCATAAAAGAGATACGTAGATCCAAAAGAGATATTCACTGGATAAGGGCAGAAAACCAATCCTGTTTGAGACTTTATTACAATTAATGAAAATAACTGGTTTAAAAATTAACTTTTTTTTTTTAAAAAATGCAGGACATCCTGGATAACAATCCAGACAAGAAAACTAAACTACCGTTATATGGGGGATATACGATATCGTAGACCTATATAGACAATTCTTTTTCAGGGGGTAAAGTGCGCACAAAGAACTCCTCGTGTGGATTTTCAGACTATTCTATTAGAAAATGTGGCTAAAATCATCAAAATACAGAATATCGGGGACCTATATAGATAATTCTCAGCCAAGGGATAAAGTTCTCACAAAAAAACTCCTTGTGTGAATTTTTATACAATTCCATTAGAGAATGTGGCTAAAATCATCAAAAGACAGAATATCGTGGGGTACCGTTATATGGGGGCTATACGATATCGTGGACCTATATAGATTAATCTCTTCCAAGAGGTAAAGTGCTCTTAGAGAACTGCTTGTGTAGATTTTCATACAATTTCATTGAAAAATGTGGCTAAAATCATCAAAATACCGGATATCGGGGGTACCGTTATATAGTGGCTATAGCATATCGTGGACCGATATAGCCCATCTTCGAACTTGACCTGCCTGCAGACAAAAGAGAGATCTGGGCAAAATTTTAGCTTTCTATCTTAATTCGTTTAGCCTGTAGCGTGATTACAACAGACGGAAAAATGGACAGACGGACAGACGGACGGACAGGGCTAAAATGATTTGTTGAGTCTAAAATGATTATTTCGATGAGTTACAAACGGAATGACGAACTTAATATACCCTCCATACTATGTATGGTGGAGGGTATAAAAAGTAATATTGCACAGGGTGCGAGCAACCAAATACAGAAAAATTGGTTGTGTGTCCGAGAATCGGTGTCGGAAAAGATATAAAATATAATAATACGGGACATTTAATTATTGTTATGCATTATTTTATACTTCAATAGATCTGACACTTTAAGGGAATTTTCGCTGATATTATTCTTTTAATGTTCATGAAATTAATCTAGAATAAATCATTGAGTCCATACCTATATTTTCAGAAGCTTTTCTTAGTGGCTTTCCCTCATCACTGACAATTTTTATACCCTCCATCATAGTATTAAGTTTGTAATTCCGTTTGTAACACCTCGGAATATAAATTTTAGACTTTGCAATATATGTATTCTTGATCAGCATATAATTCTATGTCGATTTAGCGATGTCCGTCCGTCTATCCATCTGTCCGTCTGTGGAAATCACTCTAGCTTCCAAAGGAAATGGAGTAGATTGATAAAATTTTACTCAAATATTATGTCTGCAGGACTTTTGGTATTGAAAATGGGCCATGTAGGTCCACGTTTTGGTATGGCCGATATTCGGTATTTTGATGATTTTAGCGACATTATTCACCGCAATTATTTCAAATTTGGTATTTGAAGTTCGTAATGGATTCTACAGCCTATGACAGAAAATTGTCTGTGCATGTCCACGTCGTCGTATAGCCTCCATATCACGGTACCTCCCTATATTCGGTATTTTCATGATTTAAGCTACATTATTCACCGATTTTTTTTCCAAATTTCGCATTAGAATATTGTAAAGGCTTATGACAAAAGGTGCCTATGCAGGTCCACTTCGTAAGATTTGAAGGGAATTTTAAACGGTTTTTTTTTTTTTTTTTTTGAAATTGCAAAATTTGTTCCACGTTCGGCCCGGCCGAATTTACAGCTTTTTTGCTTGTTTTAAATTATTATTTTATTAGAATGAATATCAATTTTTAAAATTTTGTGGAAATTTCCTTTATTTTTTATATTCCTTTGAGAAGAATTTTTTAATACCAAATGCTTATCTGGATCTCAATCATAATATGAACCATTAGTTTTAAAATGTGGCCTAATGAGCGCAGTTTAAAATTATATCATCCCACGTACTTAAGTCTGTTCCATAAGTTGATATTTTCCCTATTTAGGTAAGTGCGAGGAACGAACAATTTTAGTAATCTGCCTCTGCAAAAAAAGAAAACAAATTTGTTCCGATATTTTTATTTATTTTTTGTACCCCCCAGATAATTGGTTGGGTTCGCTATATTCTCTCAGTCTCTTAGAATATAGTATCTTATAAATATGTATGGTTTTTATGCTCCATTTTAAAATCCACTATATAGACTTTTTATAATTTTAAAGAATTTTTGAAAAGGTATTTTAAAGTACGAATTTTCTAATGTTTGAAAACAATTCACTTGGAGGTGTTCCTGGATTTTTTTTTTTTTTTTGCCATATAAGACACAAAATAGTATAACTCATTTCTATAACTCAAATCTTTTCTGGCCAATAGGGTTTGAGGACAATTCAAACTCCTATAGTTTATACTATTGATTATTTTCAAAATTAGATTTGGCAAATAACACTTTAATCTTTATTTACATTATTTGCTTGAGTTATTAAATCTTGAATATTTAAGAAAAGAGTGGATTTTCCATTCCGTTCTTTTCAGTCCTTTCGAATGATGTTAACACATGTTCTTGTTTCACATCCGCAAGTTTTTTTCACTATTTCTTTAAAATCACAAATTTTAAAAGAACTTTTACTGTTTTTTTTATTGCACAAGATTCACTTTTAGATATTCACAAAACTTTTGGTCCACATAATCCTTGTTTAGGTTGTTGCTCCTTTTTTCTTGTTCCTCGACTTACCAACTTTGTAAACATTTTTATTTTATTTTTTAATAAAAATTAAGGAAAAAAGGAATTGAAAAAGGTAGTTTCACAAAAACAATTGAACTATATTTTTTCTCCAATTAAGAAAAATAAACTTCCAATTGGTTTTCGATGTGAAACTAGACTGTGATAGATTCTTAAAATGTTTACGTTACTTATATACCAACAACAGATAGGTGGACGTATGGACGGACTATCGAACTTAGATAGAGCAGCAAGAGCAACAGCAACAGCATAGACCAGACAATAAGCAGCAGCAAAAAAGCACTGCTTGAATTTGACTTTTATTGTGGTTGTTGTTGTATGATTTTATTTTTTTATTTTTCTAAATTGAAAGCGAAATGCATTTTTTCGTTTTGTCTTTTTTTTATTTTATTTTGTTGTAGAGTAGAGCACATTAGAACAAACACCTCTGCCGAGGTGGTCTAGCCTGTCTGTCTGTCTGTCTGTCGGTTTGACTCTCGCCGTTGTTTTCATTGCACCTTAGTGAGTGTTTATCCCTCCGCTACAGCGATGCCAAGCTCTATCATTGCCAATAAGCTGGTCCGCCAGCCAAAAGCACTCGATTCGACATAACTTGCTCGCCTTACACTCCACCCTTTTGTTAGCACAAAAAAAAATCAAAAACAATGTAAAATGTAGCAACCCTCTTGTTTTTATTGTATGCATAGTTTTTCGTTAGTGTAGTTACACTCTTGTAATGGATGTATGGATATTGGTTCCGAATGGCAGTAGGAATCAAATCACTGTCATCACTCATTTTTTTTTTTTTTTTTTGTAAATTACACGTAACCCGTACCCGTAACTACTACTTCTAAGAACATGGAATTAACTTTCAAAAAAATCCAGGGCCACAAGCGTTAAGAGCCCCGAAAACAATAGCAACAAGACTACTCCAATGAATGTGAAACATATAATCTGATATTAATTATTTCAAAACTCAAAAAACATCATAAAGAACCTTAAAATTATATTCCCTGCCCTGAAAGCGACTCAAAGATTCGATATTTAAAGACTATTTTGAACAGCTATCAGAGCTATAATCATGAATTATCGAGAAAGATCTGGATAAAGTAACCTAAATATAATCAAAATATATATAGTGTCTTCGAAACATTATGGATAACAATATGAGGATTATTTTCGTCGAATATTTTAAAACTCAGCCGAATCACATAAGTGGTCTTCATGGTCCTTTTTTAAAAAATGGTAAAAAAAGTGACAATCCAAAGTATCCTCCGAAAATCTGACATAAGCCCCAGGATTTGCAAATACTAACAAGTAAAAAGCCGTTAAGTTCAGCGGGCCGATCTTTTAATAACCTCAACCAGTAGTGAACAAATATTTGTATACCCTCAGCCATATAGCTACAGAGGTAAACGTGCCTCATCGAAATAACGAAATAATTTAGAGCCGAGGTCTCTTTGGACCAAATCCGTTTCAGGACATTTGGAATCGATCTAGCGATGTCCTTATGTTTGTTTGTCTGGCTGGTGCACACGATAACTCTCGAAGAAATTATCCGATTTGGTCCAAACTAGGAACATCGTAATATTATTGTTATTATATTACTGGGCAATATCGGTCCACTCCTTCTGATACCTCCCCCACAAAAGGTCGAAATTATCAAAAATATATTACTGCATAGAAAGAGAAAAAATAATCCGATTTGGCTCCAACTTTGCAAATCGCAATATTTGCACCGGTGTTAGATCAAAGGTGAAAATGAATAATATCCGTACACTCCATTAAGTTCCTCCCCCACAAAGGGTCAAAATTGTAAATAATTGTAAATATTATAAAATGTGAAATAAGAGTTCGATTTTCCTCAAATTACAATAAAATACTTTTATTATCCCAAGGTCTGGGGTGAATATGGAATATGTCGGTCCGTTCATTCTAGTACGTCCCCCACAAAGGGTCAAAATTTGTAACAAACAAAACTATCATAAAATCCGAAATAAGCATCTGGTTCTCTTCATACTTCAAACATCCCATTATTTTTACTAACACAATATCTGCTGTGGAGATGGGATGTATCGATCCACTTCTTCTTGTATCTCCCACACAGAGGATCTACATTTTAAATATCAATCATAAAACGCGAAATTGACATCCGATTCCATTTAGACTTGGCACATCTAAATATTTCCATCACCACAAGATCTGTTAGAAAGATGTTAAAGATCGGATCATTTCTTCTGGTACCTCCCCCGCATAGGGTTCAACATTTGAAAAAACAAAACTCTCTTCAAATTTCACACATACAAATAAATTTTCGAATACAAAATCTGTTGTGAAAATAATATATATCTTTAAATCCCTTCTTGTATCTCAACCACAAAGTGTCAACATTTTCAATTGTTTTATCTGCCATAACTTGTGAAACAAGTCAGCGATTCTTTACAACCAAATATTTCTCTTAACCAGAATCCAGGGATGAATATGAAATTTATGATTTCGCATAAACTTGGATATAAATGTTCGATTTTCTTTTAATTTTGCCAATACCAATATTTTTATCTATATTATATGAAGTATGAAAATGGAATACTTCGGTCGCCTATATCTTCTACCTAACGCAGATTTTATCATTTTCTAAAAATTATCACATATCTCACACAAAGTATATAGTCCAAACCTGGCACGGCGTACTATTTGTATCATATTTATTTAGGTCTGATACAAAATGTACAATATTGACCCGATTCTTTCGGAACCTAATTAATAGAGGGTCAACTATTTGAATAACAGAAGTCAAAATATATTTAAATAATCGAATATTGGCTGAGGGCACACATCTGTCGGCTAAACCAACTGATACTTTTTAATTTGTTTCCATTATTTCCATTATTGGAAGATGATTATTGTTTATTAAGACTATCGTAAAATGTGTTAAGAAACCCATGAAAATAAACATTTTCTGGCTGTTTTAATAGACAACCCCATTGAAATTTCTGACCAAATTCATCAAATTGCCTATTTAAAAAATTTTTTGTCTGATTTATAAGTGCCTATTACGAACTTTACAAATTGGATGTCCATTAAAAAATAAGGATAAAATTATAAAAATGTCGAATATCGGAAGGTACCGTTATAAGGAGGCTATATGATATCGTAGACCTATGTGACCATTCTCTTTCAGAGAGTGAAGTACACAAAATGAGTATCATTTGCAGAATTATGTATGTGTGATGGAGGGTATAAAAATGAAGAAATATGACCCCTATGTAAAAACCACCAAAAATGCTTAAGGTCCACGTTTTAATGTCGGCCCCTGAAAAAAAACACATTTGTAAACCAGTAAGAAAAGGTTAAAGTCAAACGCCATAATTGTTACTTTTTTTTAAATGTTATTGAATGAAAGCAAAAAATGTCAGAAATATCATTAAATTTTAAAATAAGTTTAGATTTGTTCGAATTGGTCACCTTTGGCACGAATTGTGGCCTTCAAACGGCCGTGACGCGCTGCACGAATGTTGCTCTACGGTATTGTGGCCCATTCCCGGCGAAGCGCTTGCTTGAGGTGATCGACACTTTGGTATTTTTTAGTGTCAACCTTGCTTTCCAAAATACTCCAGACACAATAATCCAACGGATTGGTATTCGGAGATTTTGGTGGGCATTGTGCGCTGGAAATGAAGCGTGGAACCTCATTTTGTAACCATTCTTGGGTAGCGCGTGCTGAGTGCGATGGTGCTGAGTCCTGTTGGAATGTCCAAGGTCTGCGCCCAAAATGTTTACGTGCCCAAGGCTTTAATACACTCTCCAGAATATTTTCGAGATAATATTCGCCATTTATTCTGATGCCACGGTCAATTAATACGAGCGAAAAGCAACCATCGGCTGTAATGGCGGCCCTCACCATGGCCGGCGCTAGAGCTCTTGTGGCCGATCGCACACATTTTCAGCTGACCTCTTTGGCAACTAAACACGATCCTTTTGTTTGTTTACAAAGTGCTGGACAGCGAATGTTTTCTCATAGGAGAAAACCAAATTCGGCAGTTCAACTTTCGACCAAGCGAAGCAACTTATTAGCTCTTTTGAGTTTATTTTCTTTCTGTGCACTTTGCACTTTTTGGAATTTCAATGGCTTTACCCCGAGCTCATTTTTCAATTTTTGTGAATGGAATGTTCCGATATGCTCAGCTCACGAGCCATTTTTCGGCCATTGCAATGTGGGTTCCGATCAAGTCGCTTCTTTACTTTTCGAAACATTTCTGCAGATGTTGCTGTTTTCTTCTGTCCACTTCCTTGACGTCGGGCTACGTTATCCTACGATGGTGCGAGACACAAAAGATTTATTTACATTTAAATGCTGGAGTGCTCTGAAGATAGCCACTTGCGGTTCTCCAGCCAAATATAAAGAAATCACACCATCAGGCTTGAATTCCATCACGAATAAATTATTTTCTGGAAAATTCTCACCAAAATGCTTTTGTACGCTTGTAAACAATATGCTGCGACCTGTAGAGCAACTGTCAAAACCAGGAAATTTTTTGGTTTTTGGTCCATTTCAACACCTAAATATTATGCGATCATCTCCAAAAGCAATAGGCTTCTATTCTTGCCCTAGCCCCCACTCCATTCTAAATTTCGGGCTATAATTGCGACCTGTAGAAGGATTACAAATTAACATGGACAGACTGACGGACGGACATAAATAGTTAGATCGACTCAGCTCGCCGAGATAGGAAGATCCATATATACTTTCCTATGTGGGAAACCAATATTTCGAGGTGTTACATAATTTTTGGCCCAATCAAACTTAAAATACACCCAACACATGGTGTTGTAGGGTATAAAAAGATATCTCATATATGTATAGAAAATTAAAAAAAAATAAAAAAATATGTTTAAATTTATCGCATAGAAAAATTGTTTCTTTATTTTCCATAAAGACTCCCTAAATCATAGAGAGCTTATCAAATTGTGGTCCTAATCTTTGGTCACAATAACGAGAGATTCAAAACAGCTCTACGTAGTTTCTTCTGGAATATTGGAAACTGTATGTGATCAAATTTTACTTTCACAGTCTGACTGATTTATTCTAACTTCTTCATAGAATATTTTTCGTCTGGGGCAATATATCTAATGTAGGGCAATATTAATTCGTCTCCCACTGACTTTCAACTTCCTC